ATGATATTGTGTATATGATAAAACCAAAATAAAAAGAGAGAGAGAGAGAGAGAGAGAGAGAGAGAGAGAGAGAGAGAGAAAACGAGAGAGTTAAGATGACCCATATTGAACGTTTCTGCATGAATATTTATATGAAATTCTTGTGATTCAAACAGCCGACTGATTCAATCAATCAAAAATTAAATCAAGAAATTTCATTTATTAAACTATTTGGATATTCCATTAATAATAATTATTAATTGTTTTTCAATTTGATTAATAAAAATTCATAATTTTAATTGGTCCATTAATTTGATAAAATTTTCCATTTCAGTTATCACGTGATAGATTCTAGACAAATATTGTTTTCTTTTTGAAACCATAAGTTAATAATAACTGTTGGTGATGTGTGTTTGTTTATAATAAGGTTTTTTTTCTATCGGTTTGTTTGTTCCGTTCTGCTTTTTACACACACAGATGATGATAACAAAACCGGATGATTTTGTTTTTTTTTCTTATTACCTGATGTTGGTGATGAAAAAAAAACCCACCATTCTTCTTGTAAAACAATATTTCCATATATATAAAATAAACAATTGCCAGGTTCTCAAATGATGATGATTATGATGAGAAAAAAAAGGTGCCAAAATGTTTTCTAAGGTCATTTTATTATTGTTGTTGTTTTTTCCGGCCATTTTAATCATTCGTATTTTTCATATATTCTTCTCATCGTACATCTGAAAATGAATGACTGACTAACACAGATGACATGATCAGATGATTGAGCACATTATTATTTATTTAAATATACGGTGACCACACACATGGCTTGTGTTTTTTTTTTTTGTGTTTGGAAGAATTTTTTTATTTCCTTTGCAAAGAATATATGTTCAAACTAAAGGAAGGAAATGGCTTTCAATATTTGAAGAATCACAAACAAACAAACGAATTTTATTATGAAATTTTTTTTTATTACCAGCAATATTTTTTTTCTTATTTTCCATTTTTTTTCCAAAAATCCAGATGGTACAGATCTATAGATATCTATTTTGGTTGTGTAAATTCTGATTCAATTTTATTTTTTTTTTGAGATTGAAATTTATTCACAATAATTTTGATGATGATGATGATGACCTGACCTTATTGACCAGGTGTG